ATATATATATATATATATATATATTGACAAATTTACATGCTTTTTAAAATCTAAAATCACAATAATGAAACCAAAATGCTAAATGTAAAGTTAAAAAGAAAAATTTACCATTAAGCAATTAATCCCAACAAAAGAATAACATAGATTCCATATATACGAAAAATTGACTAAATTGTTGGCTTTTTAAAATCCTGAAATCACAACAATGAAACCAAAATGCTAAATGTAAAGTTAAAAAAAGAAAAATTACCATTTAAGCAAATGGTCCAAAGAAAAGAATAATATAGATTCCATACATATGAATTGAAGATGACTATCGAGGGTAGCTGAAAGGTCCTATCAGTTCTTATTAATTCGTGTACACCATAAAGGGTTGTTCATCATAAAGATAATGTTTACATAATTAAAAATATTAAATGCTTACATATTAAAATTCATCAGCACGTTGTAATTGTTAAATATATCTGCATTTATGGGCACAGATTCTGTTTACTTATTTTATATGGTGATGTTTTTCAGAATATCTTGATATACATTTATTATAGCGTTCAAATGTTATAAATTCTGACTTATATATAAGTTAAATAATGTTTACATTATTAAATATATTAGATGTTTACAAATTAAAACCCTTCTGCACGTAGTAGTTGCTAAAATTATCTGTATTATGGGCACGGATTCTTATATTTGTTTTATATGTATATTTTGTTTTGTTTTGTTTATTAGTTTTTGAGATATGATTGGCTGGGTGAGTGAAAGTAGAGTTTCAGATTTTTTTTCTTTTCTTTTTTTATTAAGTTTTAAAAATATTTTAAAAAAATTAATATATTTTAAAATTTTGAAATCAGTATCTATTAGTATATTTTAAAGACACAGTGGTCTTAGTTACGATAACAGAGGTCAAAGGAAGAGAGGCAAAGGTTGAAAGTTCGAATATATATGTAAGAGAGTGGAAAAGTTGATCATGAATAAGGAAGTGATGGAAGAAGAAGGAGATTCATGGAAGAGAGAAATGAGGAAGGAGATGAAGAAGGTGAGAAGAATAGCAGCTCCAATGGTGGTTGCAAGTGTGTTGCAGTATCTTCTGCCAGTCGTGTCTCTCATTATGGTTGGCCATCTCAACCAGCTTTCTCTTTCGAGTGTTGCAATTGCAACCTCTCTCACTAATGTTTCTGGTTTTAGTGTTCTGGTAACTACCTTTTCTGTTTCATCTTCTACTTTTACCCTTTCCCTGCATCAAGCCTTTTAATCATGCGCAGTGCAAGTTTGATCATTTGTGTGAATATCACAGTCAGGGATGGCTGGTGGATTGGAAACTTTATGTGGGCAAGCATTTGGAGCAGAACAATATGAAAAATTTGGACTATACACTTACACTGCCATTATATCTCTTTCTTTGGTTTCTGTTCCAATCACTGTTCTGTGGATTTTCATGGACAAAATATTGATCCTCTTACACCAAGATCCAATGATAGCCCTCCAGGCTCGTAAATATGCCCTTTGGCTCATACCTGCTTTGTTTGGTTCTGCAATTCTCAAACCCCTCACACGATTTTTCCAGACCCAGAGTTTGATTTTTCCCATGATTCTAAGCTCTGCTCTAGTTCTGTGCTTCCATGTCCTTACATGTTGGATCCTAGTGTTTAAATTGGAGTTTGGACATGTCGGCGCCGCAATAGCATTCAGCTTTTGTGTTTGGTTGAATGTGATGTTGTTGTTGTCCTTTGTGAGGTTTTCCTCAGCTTGTGACAAAACACGCGTGCCTTTCTCCATCAAAGCATTGCTTGGCCTTGGAGAGTATTTTCGTTTTGCTGTCCCTTCAGCAGTCATGGTTTGGTAAATGGTTTTCTGTTTTCTCTTAAATTTCATGTTTCGATTATTTGAATTAACCATACATTTTCTCAAAACTGATTTCTTTTCCAGCACATTCATTATCGTGATGTCTTGATTACAGTCTTAAATGGTGGGCCTGCGAGATACTTGTTCTGCTTGCTGGAGTTTTTCCTAACCCAAAGTTGGAGACATCAGTTCTATCTATATGGTATAGTTTTCATTTTTATATGTTTTAGAAAAGAATACGATAACTGCTCTAACTCAAATTTCTTTTGTAATGTTGTCAGCTTGACAATCTCCACATTACATTTCACCATACCCTATGGCTTTGGAGCTGCTGTTAGGTCTGTTTTTCACTTCATCAAACTATAATGTTATGCAGTGCAGGCATAGTAACAAATAAGTGACACATTAGTTGTGTTGTATGTGACAGCACTAGAGTTTCGAATGAACTAGGAGCAGGGAATTCAGAAGCAGTTCGAATGGCTGTTTCTGCAACGATGTTGATTGCAGTGATAGATGGTCTCATTGTATGTGCAGTGCTATACAGTTGCAGATATGTGTTGGGTTATGCCTATAGCGATGACCGTGTGGTTGTTCATTACGTGGCTGTTATGACCCCTCTGCTTTGTCTCTCCATTTTTACTGACAGTTTGCAATCAGTTCTTTCAGGTTGGTTATGCCCCTTTGAGTACTGATATATTTCAGATCATAATCACTAACTCAATTACCATTGAAAACGTAAATGTNCTTTCCCTGCATCAAGCCTTTTAATCATGCGCAGTGCAAGTTTGATCATTTGTGTGAATATCACAGTCAGGGATGGCTGGTGGATTGGAAACTTTATGTGGGCAAGCATTTGGAGCAGAACAATATGAAAAATTTGGACTATACACTTACACTGCCATTATATCTCTTTCTTTGGTTTCTGTTCCAATCACTGTTCTGTGGATTTTCATGGACAAAATATTGATCCTCTTACACCAAGATCCAATGATAGCCCTCCAGGCTCGTAAATATGCCCTTTGGCTCATACCTGCTTTGTTTGGTTCTGCAATTCTCAAACCCCTCACACGATTTTTCCAGACCCAGAGTTTGATTTTTCCCATGATTCTAAGCTCTGCTCTAGTTCTGTGCTTCCATGTCCTTACATGTTGGATCCTAGTGTTTAAATTGGAGTTTGGACATGTCGGCGCCGCAATAGCATTCAGCTTTTGTGTTTGGTTGAATGTGATGTTGTTGTTGTCCTTTGTGAGGTTTTCCTCAGCTTGTGACAAAACACGCGTGCCTTTCTCCATCAAAGCATTGCTTGGCCTTGGAGAGTATTTTCGTTTTGCTGTCCCTTCAGCAGTCATGGTTTGGTAAATGGTTTTCTGTTTTCTCTTAAATTTCATGTTTCGATTATTTGAATTAACCATACATTTTCTCAAAACTGATTTCTTTTCCAGCACATTCATTATCGTGATGTCTTGATTACAGTCTTAAATGGTGGGCCTGCGAGATACTTGTTCTGCTTGCTGGAGTTTTTCCTAACCCAAAGTTGGAGACATCAGTTCTATCTATATGGTATAGTTTTCATTTTTATATGTTTTAGAAAAGAATACGATAACTGCTCTAACTCAAATTTCTTTTGTAATGTTGTCAGCTTGACAATCTCCACATTACATTTCACCATACCCTATGGCTTTGGAGCTGCTGTTAGGTCTGTTTTTCACTTCATCAAACTATAATGTTATGCAGTGCAGGCATAGTAACAAATAAGTGACACATTAGTTGTGTTGTATGTGACAGCACTAGAGTTTCGAATGAACTAGGAGCAGGGAATTCAGAAGCAGTTCGAATGGCTGTTTCTGCAACGATGTTGATTGCAGTGATAGATGGTCTCATTGTATGTGCAGTGCTATACAGTTGCAGATATGTGTTGGGTTATGCCTATAGCGATGACCGTGTGGTTGTTCATTACGTGGCTGTTATGACCCCTCTGCTTTGTCTCTCCATTTTTACTGACAGTTTGCAATCAGTTCTTTCAGGTTGGTTATGCCCCTTTGAGTACTGATATATTTCAGATCATAATCACTAACTCAATTACCATTGAAAACGTAAATGTTTTTATTTTATTAAAAAAATTTACCATTTAGTTAGATATGAACAAGAATTGAGTAAAAACACTACTTTCCACTTCCTTAATCTTGTTTTTGCTTGCTTTTAAAGATTATTTTTTCAAGCTTGCTTGGTATAATAAAAAGAACAGTGATCTGATTCATATCAGTAATCTTATATAACCCAGCAATTTCTCCTTTGATTTTGGTGTGTAATCAACATTGTTCTTCTGCTAAACTGCTGCAATGATCCAGTTTTTTTCTTAAATAAAAACCAGGGGTTGCTAGAGGAAGTGGGTGGCAACATCTTGGAGCCTATGTGAATCTTGGAGCTTTTTATCTGGTTGGAATTCCTGTGGGTGCCCTACTTGGTTTTGTTGCACATTACAGAGCAAAGGGCCTTTGGATTGGAATAGTCACTGGCTCCATTCTCCAATCTTTTCTCCTTTCCCTTATCACTGCTCTTACAAACTGGAAAAAACAGGTTCACAATTCTCAAATTTCATACTACCCCTTATATATATCCAACTATGCTTTTTGTTTCGTATTGTAGAAACACATTTTGGTGTTAATTACATGCCGGATTATTGCATTATTTTGCAGGCAATGATGGCAAGGGAGAGAATGTTTGATGCTACACCACCCAACCAAAATGGATCAAATCACATCACCAGTGCTTAAGTATGGTTTTCCCAAAGAGATGTTCCAACATCGGAGAGACAGAAATAATTGAGCGAAAATTCGTGTATGTAATGTGACAAAAAAAAATAGAAAGATGAAATATGGAAGGTGTTAAACAAGTTTTTGGGGATAATAAAGTATATATAACTCTGTGTATCATTGTTTTTCTTTTTGAAAAAAAAAAAAAAATAGAGTAAGAAGAAGGTTAAAATTAGAAAAGATCAAATTTAGATGGGATTCTTTTAGTGTTGCATTTTAATTAGAATTGGAGGTTTAGTTCGGTATTCTTTGTATTGGAAATTTATAATCAAGAAAACGGTATCTATTTTTAAAATAGAATTTTAGTGGAAAATAACATAAAAAATACAGAAAACGAATCAATTTTGCATGAGAATTTTAATTTTAAGTAATGTAAACTTACTTTTAAAATTGTCTCTAAAATGATAAGGTAAAATAAAAAGAGAGTTAAACATGTCTATACCCAAACATATTGGCGTTGACACCATATGCTTAATGCTTAATATTAAGTGCATAAGTTGTAAATTAGCAAATAGTAACTAATTTAAATAAAATTGTGTAATATCTATGAATAATTTCAATCGATAACTAATTTAAATAAAATAGTATTTTTATAAATTATATTTTTAATATTCTATTTTAATAATATAAATATATTAAAATAACGTTACAAAAAATGATAATAAAGGTAAAATAAACCTATCACACAAAATATATATATATTTGTAAAATCATCTAATTATGCATTTATTTCATCCTCGTCCTTCGATAGAATAAGTGGAAAGACATACTTATCTACTCCCACAAATAAAGTGTTCATCGCAAATAAGAAGATGACATAAAAAACATACATACATAAAAGCAAGGGTAAACTAATATTATAAAAGAATCAATTCATGCAATTATAATTCAACATACAACACATTTCACTTTAAAATCAAACAAGAACCTAAGTAGGTATACATATTCTAGACTTGACAAATCCAGATACAAGTATTGATATCGAGTCATGACGCATTGTACACTTATAGTGGTGGAACAGTTGGCTCCCTTCGAGCTACCATATAAGATTAATTTGTCAACTACCTATGAACAAAGAATACCAGACCATATACTAGAACTCCTACTACTCCTTACCACATAATCTCCTTCTCTACCTAAGATGGAAAGATTATTGGAGCAACATGATAAGTCCAAGATTGAGCTTCCTATATCAACACCTACATTACAGAGCACCACCATGGAATCTCTCCACGAGAATCATGAAATTACATCCATCTACCATGCACATGCACATGATCAGTATATACTCATACTCATCATACATCATACAATTCAATAGATACTATCAAACAAGCATCAAAGTACTGATACAACTCAAACCTAGCAAGGCACAAAAGGAAAGATACAGAAACCAAAACTGCATAGATGGCGCCCAACGCCATAATCCTAGCGCTTAATGCTGGCTTGCTCACCCAACGAGCAGTTCTCTCTCGCCCAACGAGAGTCAAACAGAGAGTTTCCCCAGCCTAGCGAGAAGTCTCGCCCAGCCTCTAAAACTCAATGCCAAAACTCAATATTACTCGCTAGCGAGGTATCTATTCGTCCAGCTAGTCTACAAAATTCTCTCGAACATCAATTCTACAGAATTTACACCTCCATGAGCTCCTAAAGTGAAATCACACCTCTACACCGCTTCCTTGAGCTTCAATTGTGTTTCCACATCAAAAATTAACTTTTTCTTTCACTTTTGCCACTTTAAAACCTTCTCCAAAAAGTACACTCTCGTTGGGCCACAAAATACTCTTGCTGAGCTAGATGTGCTATGTTTGTTAGGCCACAGAATCCTCTTGTTGGGCTAGAGATGCTCTGATGGCTGGGTTGCAAAACTTTCTGGCTAGGCTGGAGTTGCTTTGCTAGCTAGGCTAGGGATGCTTATGGTTGTCCCAACAACTTTTGGCATCATCTCTCTATTCTTTTCCAATCTTATAATTTCCTACAAAATAAATCAAAAACACATAGTTAAATCTCTCTATGAAGACTGTATACAAATCTTACAATTTTTCATGAAATTCAACTCAAAAAACATGATATAAAGACAAATAAGGAGTTATAATAAGTGTGAAAAATAGTTAATTATCACACTTATCACCTCCCAAGCTTGAACTTTTCCATATCCTCATGAAAAGCAAAAAGGTAAACTTTAGCCTAGACAAAATAGCTCAACTATAATGGTTCATGACTCAAGCAATCAACTTCAATCAAAGAGAGAAATCAATCATGCTTGATAATTTAATATTGTGATTGTTATTTATAATGAGTGGATCTTCTCTCACATTTCAACCCTCATAACGCATGTTAGAAATTTAAAACTATTCATATATCACGTCACGTATCCAGAAGACCACGCTCAGTCTGGCTAAGAACACAACACTTACAACCATTCAACTCATTTCCTACAATATGAGCACTCACAACCCATTAATGTAACCACGCAATCATCCAAATAGTTTAAGAAAATAGTATGATTAATCTTTAGACACTCAAAATTTTCTTTTTGACTTGGTTATATTTCTATTTTCTTCTGTTGTTCAATGAGTTCGACACCCACCCAAAAAGCAATCACAATGCACACATCTCTCTGCAAAACTCAATACAAAAGCAAAGTGGTGAATGTAAGAATCGTTCCAAAACCCAACAACTCCAAAGCCGTGAATAAAAAAAAAAAAAACCTTTACTATAACTCTTACATACTCTCTAGCAGTTAAAGAATTCATCTCAAACTCTATATATTCTTTGGGAAAAGGAATATATTTAAACAAAAAATATATTTTATAAAAGTAAAGATGTTTCTGATTAAATAAGTGATGTGAGTACATAACAAGCAACAGACATTGACCATTGGACTACATGAG